CGGGAAGGAGGGAAGTCAGGCTCCTCGGGGTGCACAGAGCATGGTGCCGGCCACCGGGAACCAAGCAGGTGTCGGCGCCCAGGGCTCCCCCACTGCCCTGCGCAGTGGGTGCAGATGCTCAGTCAAGGGGGTACCGGGGAGTAAGAAAGAAGGAATATGCCCGATGGCGTAGCTCAGTGGTTGAGCGTCAACCTATGAACCAGGACGTCACAGTTTGATTCCCAGTCAGGGCACAGGCCCGGGTTTCGGGCTCCATCCCCAGTAGAGGGCGAGCAGGAGGCAGCCAGTCCATGATTCTCTGTCATCATTGATGTTTCTCTCTCTCTCCCTTCCTCTCTGAAATCAATAAAATATATTTAACACTAGAAAGACCGAAATTTAGTATGTACCTATATTGCCCAGAAGCAGTAAAAATGACTGCATTGTGAAAGAATAATATCAGAGCACTCTTCACTTATGTTCCTTAGCTTTTCCAATAACTCACTTCTATTCGACATTTCTTTCATGAATTTAGGGCGCAAAAGAAATACAATAAACAACTTATTAGAACAAGTATCACTGCATAAAGATTCGAATAACAAGTACTAGTTTAGCTTATTGAGCAACTGCAACTTATCAAGTATTGACAATTTATCATGTACTTGTATGTTATCATGTGACGGTAATCGAAAAAAATGAAAACTGTTATTTCAATACAGAGCCGAACTGGTCATATAAGAAATTTACTCAATTTCAATAATAAGAGTCATAATTTCCCAAGCAGTCAAAATGACTGCTTTTGGGCAATATAGGTATAACACATATATATATACCGGAAATGAAGGAGGGGGAGGTAACTACAATTACTAATAAACGCATTTACATGTTGTATAAAAAGTCACCAAATTCTAAGAAATTCTGTCATTATATACATCATTGTTTTTCTAATTGAAATTAAAAAGCAGTCAAAATGACTTCCTTGGGCAATCTAGTGTTAAAAAGAGAGAAGGAAGCCGACATTCTTCTCCCCCGTTACACCCAACAGAGAAGCCGAGCTCCTGGGACGGCCCGTCCAGGTTCCCGCCGTGTGGCACAGCGTGGAGTCATCAGGCGGGTGGTCAGCCCCGGCTCCCCGGTTGTGCCCAGGCCCCAGCCTGCGCCCAGGGCCTCCTCGGTCAGGGCCGCTGCCAGGGGAGTGCTCACCCCGGCGCCTGCAGGCTCCACTTATGACCCTCTCAGACGTTCTCTGTGCTGGATGGAGTCCACTGCCATCTTTTTTTTTTCCCCCTAAGATTTTTTAAATTGATTTTTACAGCGAGAAGAAGGAAGAGGGAGAGAGAGAAACATCGGTCCTCTGCCTCCTGCACGGCCTCTCCTGACAAAATGAGCCCCTTTGTTGGAATTCCCGGCACCCTGGGCCCCGGGGCTGGCGCTTGCCTGTGGCTACACCACTGGGGACTCAGGGAGCCCTCTGCTCCGCCTCCGCACCAGGCAGCCCTCCGCCTCCAGTGGGTCTCAGGCATTCATCTCTGTGAGTCTGGGCATCCTGTGGCTGCGGGATGGTGACAGCAGCACCGTGACCACAGCGGGCAGCTCCCCGTCCCTCATCCTCTCCGCCACAGGCACTCGCTGTCCCTCGACGAGGAGGAGGGGAAATTGCCACCAAGCGGTTCCTAACCCAGATGTCACGGGTAAATGTCACAGGCACTTTCCAATGCCGAGGAAATAAATACAGCGTAATTGGTAGCGATTCCGCTAAGGAACTTCGGCCCCACGGTCTCCATTCCCACCTCCGCAAACACAGCAAAGGACGCTTGTCACAGGGAGTTCGCGAGCGCGTGCCAATGTGGAATATTTACTCGGCGGGCATGACGGTCTCTTTCCCTGTAATAACAAGGTCGCTGGGCAGAAAAATCATTTCACAGGGAAAGGGGAAACGGCACGTCCCAAAGCAAACACGCCGCCTCCTGCAGCAGCCACCTGACACCCCGACAGGTCCCCTCCGCCACCTCGGAGACCGCCATCACCTTCTGAATGTCATCACACCCCGCCTCCTCCCCGGCTCTCATCACCCTTCTCTCCTGTAAACAAACAAACGTGTATTTTTTTTTTTATTGATTTCAGAGAGGAAGAGAAGAGGTAGAAACATCAATGATAAGAATCCTGGATCGGCTGCCTCCTGCACGCAACCCACTGGGATGGAGCCTGCAACCCAGGCCCTGACCGGGAATCGAACCGGGACCTCCTGGTTCATAGGTCGACGCTCAACCCCTGCCCCACGCTGGCCAGGCATCTGTCTCTCCTTTTAACCTCGATCCTAAACCATTGGACTCGTAACCGTTCCTCTGTCAGGAAAGGCACTGATCAAACCCAGCCCCACTGTTTATAGAGAAACAAGCCGACTCCCGGGCGGCTGTGGGTTTCCATGCCAAGGCTGCAACCCTTTGAAGTGGGGTTTCCACAGGGAACTGCTCCCATATGCGGGGGCGGGGGACGAGGGGGGGGCTCAGCCCTGTGTTAGGGTGCCATCTGGTGACAGACCCGATTTCCTGCTGCAGCTGCGGGCAGCTTCAAGGTTCCATGCTCCAAGACCCCCCTCCCACCCCCGGGATAAAATCGAACCAATAAATAATGAATGCCAGTGCAACCGGGCAGAGTCCTAACGTCCGAGTTAATATGAGAGCCAGTTCTCTGGGCGCTGAGGAAGCTACTACACAGGGAAATAGGTCCCCCTGCAGGCTTGACCTTCATCAAAAATCTGAAGTGTGGCCCGGCCGGCGTGGCTCAGTCTTTGAGCATCGACCTATGAACCAGGAGGTCACGGTTCCATTCCTGGTCAGGGCACAGGCCCAGTTGCAGCCTCAATCCCCAGTAGGGGGCGTGCAGGAGGCAGCCGATCCATGATTCTCGTCATTGATTTTCTATCTCTCTCTCCCTTTGCTTTCCTCTCTGAAATCAATAACAATATATTTTAAAATGTATCTGTCTGTTACCTCCAGTGGGGCTGTGGGAGTCAAATGCCACAGAGCCAGGTCTCTGCTTTCCAGCCCTGCCCAGGCCTCCCACTGAGGGCTCCTGGCCACCCTGGGAAGCAGGTCACAAACAGCGCTGTCCTGTCAGGGAAAGCGTCCTTCTCGCACACACTGGGTTTCTTCATTTAAAAGAAACACAGAAGGAGGAAAATTTTCTGTGTGGATACATACAGGCCCATGCATGTATAGACAGAGGTGTGTAGTTGTGCATGCATATGGACATGTATGCATATATACATGCATGTACATGTGAAACATCTGTACAGGCAGTCCTTGGGTTACATCGGACTGGACTAGACATTCCTTGTTTCGTGGTTACGTCGCCATCTCCCATTTATTCATAAAAAAAAGAAGTTCCGTCATTTTGACATATGTACAAATGTGCTTTATGTTTTTTATTATTTATTTACCACAAGTAAAGTCAGGAATTGTTATCTTTTAAATTTCTTTTTACTGTTTCACTTCATTACTGCTGTGTATGTGCTCCATGTGCATGACGTAGGTGCTTTTGTAGGTGGGTTCAACTTATGGCAAAAATCGCATTATGTTGCGCTGAAGGAATGGATCTCCGATGTAACCCAAGGACCTACTGTATATATAAAAGCCTGAGACTGAATGACCGAACTACCGGTCGACCGGTAGCTATGACACGCACTGACCACTAGGGGGCAGACGTTCAACGCAGGAGCTGCCCTCTGGTGGGCAGTGCGCTCCCACAGTGGGAGCTCCGCTCAGCTGACCGGACCATGGCCCAGTAGCCCAGCAGCAGCCACTCCCTCAGCAGTCCTGCAGGTCCAACCTCCAGAGAACCGGCCAGGCACCGAGGGACCAGCGCTGCCGGCATAACCCTGACAGCGCAGCCGGCCTCCTGGAAGTCAGCCTCAGGCACTGTGGCCTCTTCCCCTCCCTAGACGCTCCACAAGGAAGAAACGATATAAAAGCGGCCACCAGATGGCTCCCGACAACCGGCAGGAACATAGGCCGGAGGGATCCGGATCCCAGGCTGGCAAGGGCGTCCCACCGCCCGACCCGAGGGCCCATTGCGTCCTGGCGCCCCCCACCCCCTTTCGGGATGGGCGCCAGACGCAGGGCTCACAGCTGGCAAGCGCCGCTGTGGGCAGTGCGAGCCTCTCCCGATCAGGACTGACTGGGCCCGAGACGGTGGCAAGCGCAGCGGGGCCGGATGAGCGGGAGCAGCAGGCAGGGGCGGCAGGTGGCTTTGGACGGCGGGTTTCAGCCCAAACCCCGCAGGCCGGCCTGAGGGACCCCACCCGTGCACAATTCGTGCACCGGCCTCTAGTATAAAACAATAAACCGACTCTATTTTAAACTTGGAGGACAACTGTCACTGAACACAAAGCCTTCCCTGTTCTCGGTGCAGGTTTGCTGGTGTTCGGGATCGGGACCTTTTCTTTGACTTAACGGAATGGCCAGGAAATCTCATTTTCACAGAAACGCGCTTCTTTAGCAGCCGAGGCTCAGTCCTTCCGAGCTCGGCTATGAAACTTCCCTTGCGTCCTCGGCCTCAGCCTGTCTTAGAGCAGCCATGGGAAGAACCCCGAAAACGGAGCAAAACGCTAATTGCAGAAACCGAGCGCATATGGGCATTCTCTGCAGAATTCTCCCATGTTCCTGTTTATGTGAAGATTTTTATAATAAACTGGGCGGGAGGAGGGTTTAACTGCAATACCATAGACTCCCCATGGATCTTCCACAAAATCACTTTCACAAAATCACAAGTGGGAGAACACCTGTACCCACGTTTGGAAGTTCACCATTCGGAGCTAATTTTTAAAAAGAAAAATATTAATGATTCCACACGCGCTAGCCGCAAACCCATGAAGGCATGTGGCCTTCGCCGCTTAGGAAACACGAGGCTGAAAAAGTAGCCCCAGTGCGCAGACTCCGCAGGGGCAGCCACGCCCCTCCCCGCAGCGTCGCCGGCTCGCAGGCGCATGCGCCGACCCCAGTAGGCGCGCTCAGTGACGTCACCGGCGGCGCCACACACGGCCGCCTGCGTCCGCGGCTGCGAGCCCGAGCGAGCAAGTCGGCCTGCGGACCCCGCGCCGCGCGGGCTCGGGGACGAGGACCCTCTCCACCGCCGACTCCGACGACAGGGGCCGCGGAAGGAGGTGGACGGAGGAAAAGCGCGAGCGGTGCCGGATGGAGACGTCATCAGAGCGCACCGGAAGCGGCCCCAGAATGAGGAGTGAGTGGGGCTGAGGGCCCCGAGCTCGGGCGTCAGGGCTCGGGCACGGGGCGCGGGGCGCTGGGGAGTAAACGGGTCGCTGCGGAGTGCGAGCGGGGCTGCTGAGGGAATTGCCCCACCTTCCCTCGGGGAAACTGAGGCCCGGCTGGCCCGGCCCCGAGTCTGAGCCCGGGGTTGCTGTCCGAGCTGGAGGCCGGTTCTCGGGGGCCGCTCAGTGGCGTGGCTGCTACGGGACCGGCCAGGGCCTTCGCCCGAGTGGCCGCTGCCTCCCGGGTGGCCGTGGCCCCGTCCTGCGCGGCTCTGTGAACGACACCGCCCCACCATCCCCCGGGCGTGGGCGGAGAGCTGTGCCCCGAGGGGAGCAGCGCCCAGGCCGCTGGAGGCAGGGGAGTGTGGACACCGTTCACACCGGCTTTGCGTGCGGTTCCGAGTCCCCCGCTGCAGGTGCCTGCCTGTGTGACCCAGGGTAGCGCCTCAGCGTATCCGAGCGTCCGTGCTCTCGGGTGCAGAGCAGGAATAGTGACCACGGCACCGGATCCTGCGGAAGGGATGATGAGATGAAACGTGCTGCCCTGGCCGGTGTGGTCCAGTGGGTAGAGCGTCGGCCTGCGGACCGAAGGGTTCTGAGTTCCATCCCGGTCAGGGGCAAGTGCCCCGGTTGCAGGTTCGATCCCCAGTGCGGGGGCATGCAGGAGGCAGCCGATCCATGATTCTTTCTCATCATGGATGTTTCTCTCTCCCTCTCCCTTGCTCTCTGAAATCAATAAAAATATATTAGAAAAAAAGAGAGATAAAATATGCAAAGCTTTTAATGAGGTGCATGGCGAGTACTGCGGGCTCCATAGGCGTTAGATGTGTGTTGTGACCGAAAAGGCTCCCAAGTCTCGGCACCGGGGCCGGGTGGAGCAGTCATTCCTGGGGCTTGGGGTCTTGCACGTTGCTCTCTACAAACAGGTTGTACTCCCCCATCTTACATTTGAGGGAGGATTAGACCCCCGCATAGAAGACTTGTAACCACTTTGGTTTGTTTGATCAAATGTGCGCAGGGTTGAGATTTATAGAGTGTAGTGTGAACCAAACTTTCCAGTATTTGGGCGCCTGAATCAGGGCTCTGTCTCATTCTTATTCTGTCCACATCCCAGTGCTGCAGGTTTTCTTCCGACAAACAAGAAACGGGCGTGGATGTGTTTAGAAGTTGAAGCCACGTTGGTGAATATATATATATTGAGCTTGAAGAAAGACCTGTATTTTATCACTTTAGGACACTATCAATTATATGATTCAATTCATAGACGCCAAACCGTGGAGAATCTTTTTAACAAAATGTAGTATCCCGAACCACCTGCATCACATAACTTTTAAATGAGTTCCCTCATTACAAGTTGAGCAGCAATTCAGCTCCTAACCTGTGGTATTGTCAACGTAAGAAACATTCACACCTGTAGAGCAGAGGTTCTCAACCTTGGCTGCACATTAGAATCACCTGGGAATCTTTTTAAAATCCTGATTTCTGGGCCTCGTCCTCCGGAAATTCTATTTCTTTGTTACGGGGTGGAGCCACGGTTGAGAACCACTGCTGTAGAGAGTTGTTGAGTTATGTGAGCCAAAATGATGACTACTGCCGGGAAGCAAAATCTCAACGGATCGAAAAATGGCAGTTTGCACCCTGTTTGATACATTACGATCAAAAGAGGAGGCATAAGTGGGATATATGAAGTCCCCTGGTGATAGGTGAGGGAGGTGGGAGAGAGCAAAGCAGGGTTAGGGGATGCCTGGGATTGGATAAAAAGTAAAACATTTTACCGAGGTGGGTACAGGATAGTTAACAGTCAGCGATTAACAGTTACAGTAGGAACAAGGAGATTTGCAGTCTCTGCTCTGGCTCGGCTCCTGTGCTTTGAGGGGTCTGGAGGAAGGAGTTGACTGACATTCCAAAGGTCTGTTATCGTAGATGCAAAAAGACTGTAGACAGGCTCATTTAAGGTACAGATGGACTCTTTTCAGGGGAGGTTCTAGCCTAGAACCTGACTACCTGCCATAAACTGCTTTTAGCTACAAAAGTTTTCATTTCAGACCCTCCGGTGTGGTGACTGTAGGTCTCTGCGTTTGTAAGGCCACCCCTGAGCTCCTCAGGGCGAGTCTGTGGCCCCTTTTCGTCCACAGTATTTTAAACCAGTGCAGCTCCAAGTGTGGTCTGCTGGCCTGCAGCTCCATCTGAGAACTTGCTAGAAATGCAGGATGTGGGGATGGGGCCCAGAGTCTACATGCTAATAAGCCCCAGAGGTCCCTCCGCACGTTCATGTCTGAGAAGCACCTTTGAAGCCGGCCCTTGGGGTTTCTGTGATGGACGTGATGCGTGGGCAGGGTGAGAGCTTCCATGAAGGCTGCGCAGCTGTGCCCTCTGTAGCCCCGCCTCCTGTCCCTGAATGAGCATTGCTCTGTTCAGAGTAGAGAACGCCCCGGGCCTGTCGCCCAGCAGGAATCATTTCGTGTCCGTTTCCCGTCCCCAGGTGTAATCTACCACGCCCTCTCCCAGAAAGAGGCCAAGGAGCTGGATGTCCAGGTAGGTGCTTGGCAGGGGGTCTGGGAGCGACGGGGGATGACTCAGATGCTTGGTGGCCTCAGAGCCTTTCCACGTCCCACTCCTCGTCTCCCCAGTCCACAGGGCTGCAGCAGGGCCTGTTGTCCTGACGGCTGTCCCACATGCGGGTCTCCTTTCCCACTGTGTCATCTCCCACCGTGTGGGGACACTGGGCTGTGTCCACCTGAAACCTGCCCTGGTGGACGCTGTCATTTGACCTGGTCACTGGCTTCCCTGCATCCCCAACAGGGCAGAGAGACCACATTTGTGAGATTTATGGATTCTTCTGTGATCTGCCCATTTGGCCGAAGCTCCCCCATGAGGAGGGAGATACCAGAAATCAAGATTTTGAGACCGATAGGCCTTTATTTGGTGTCTCCATGGAGGGCCACGTAGGTGTTCAAGACAGTCCAGTCATGTCAGTCCCCTCTCTGAGGGTCCAGGAAGTGGCCTGCCAGAGGCAGGACCTCGGGAGGCAGTGCCACCTGGCCTGGGGGGGTGGGGGTGGGGGTGCGGCTGCAGTTTCAGGGCAGTGCTGCTCGGAGGCCCCTCCAGAATTACACACTGTGACGGCTGCTCTGCCCCCTGGCACCTGTGCTCAGTCCGGGTCACGTGAGGCTCTGCTGTGTGTCCAGAGAGTGAGCAGGAGGCGGGAGGGGGTGGTGCTGAGATGCCTGACAGTTCCTCCCCAGGTGATGCACCCACAGCCGGAAACCCACGTAAGAGGACTGCGACACCCACCGTGAGCAGATCCAGCTCCTGGGCCGGCTGTGCCGCCTCCTGGGGTCAGAGGCCTCTCCTTCAGGCCAGAGCTTGGCTCCGCCTCGCTGGCCTCAGTCACCACTGATTAAATGCCGCCCTCTCCCTCCCCCCAAAGACCAGGGAGTCTTCCTCCACACAGAGGTGTGATCTGTCACCAGGATGGCCTCGGGGGCAGGGTGGGCCCCGGCGTCTGGCCTGGCTGTCTGTGTGGCGTCAGGATGTGGCTTTCGCACCTGGACAGCGGTGGGTGGGGGACAGACAGCGCCCCGAAGCGGTGTGAGCCTCTGTGGGGGAGGCAGCCGGCCCGCGAGGGCCTGGGGTGACTGTGCCTCGCAGAGCAGTGAGCCCCCCTCTGGCTGTCCCCCCAGCGCCCGGGAGCCCAGCGCGCCGAGGCCTTCCTGCAGGCCTTCCTGCGGCGCTGCACGCCCCACATGAGCCAGCGTGCCCGCGAGGACCAGCTGCAGCGCAAGGCCGTGGTGCTGGAGTACTTCACCCGCCGGAGGGGCAGGGAGCCGAGGAGGCGGGCCCGGGGCCTGTCCGCGCGGCAGAGGAGGGCGCTGCGGCTCTTCGACATCAAGCCGGAGCAGCAGAGGTACCGGCCTTCCTGCCCGCCTTCCTGGCCGGTGGAGCCTCCCGCTTCTGCCGCCAGGGGGCAGCCTTCCTTCACCCACCGGGACTGGGTTTGGGTTTGGGCTTGGCTTTTAATAGGGAGGCTGGTGAGTGGCTGGTGTCTGTCCCAACCCTAATAGGACCTGCCTCTAGTGCGTCTGTTGCCCATGGCAACAGGCTGGCTGTCCTCCAGCTCCTTCAGAAAAGAGCAACTGAGACTTCTTCTTACGCGTCTCCCTAAGCTTCTAATAGCACAGGCAGAGCCACCCCCGGGTTACTGGCCGGGAGCGGGCTGCCCGCGTGCTGGGAGGCCTCCGCAGGGACATGGCACTCCTGGTGGGAGGGGCTCCCTCCTGCCCCGCCGCCCTCGGCCGGCCCTGGGTGTGGGCGTCTGGGGACTGTTTGTACACTCACTCCCAGACCTGTAGCCGGCAGCCTCCCACACCCACTGGACAGTCTGCCACCCTGCCCGTGGCCTCTCGAGAGACCGCTGGGTTTGGGGCCGGGGGGGGGGGGGCAGCTGTCTGTCTCAGGGGCCTCGTGGTGTCCCCACCGCTACGGCCCTCTTCAGGTTTTCGCCGAGTCTCTCCATCCTCTGACCCACAGTTGGGGTCCTCTCCTCCGCGCCCTCCCCTGCCCGGCAGACCTGTCACCGTCCGCGGGTCCTGCGTGACAGCCAGCAGCTCGGGTTGAACAGGGCTCACCTAGCTCAGCGTCCTGACGCGCAGGGCCTCAGAGTGCAGGCGTCAGCAGCCTGGAGTGGGTTTCTCCCGGGAGGTGAAGTCCAAGTGTGCGTGTGCTGGCCGCCGTGCAGGCGGGTCCACTGCCCTCAGGCCCAGGCAGCGTGGCCTGGTGTGTCCGGCTGCTCCAGCAGCTCTAGACATTGCCCCGTGGTCTCGGGCAGCTGCCTGCGCTCCAGGTGTCACAGCTGTGTCCAGTGGCAGGGAGGGGAGCGGCCAGGAAGGCGCACCTTCCTTGTCTCACTAGCAGGAACCTGGCCTCGGAGGGCCCACCAGTGAGGAGACAGGGTCGAGGGGAGGAAGCAGGCGAATGGAGATGGTGGCCCCAGGCGTCCTTGGTGGGAAGCTGAGCGCTGTGCTTTGGATGGTGTCATCAAGCTCACGGGCCTCGCTTCCACCCTCTGACTTCCCACAGATACGACCTCTTTCTCCCCCTGCACGAGCTCTGGAAACAGTACATCCGGGACCTGTGCAATGGCCTCAGGCCAGACACGTGAGTCGAGTTTCTGAAGCCTTGCCCTTTGGGGGAACCCATGCCTTGCGGACCCTGACCCTGACAGCTGTGGGTGCGGCCTGGGAACCCGCTTCCCCAGCGAAGATGGTGAGGCTTCTGTCTGCCCTGCAGGCAGCCCCAGGCGATCCAGGCCAAGCTGTTGAAGGCAGATCTCCATGGCGCCATTGTTTCAGGTGAGGGCCTGAGAGCACGTGGCAGGGGGCGGCACTGCGGGGTCCGGGTGTGAGAGTGCTCCTGCCGGGGATGTCCCCAGGTCGGCACTGGGCGGAGAGACATCACCGTGGTTGGCAAACTGCGGCTCGCGAGCCACATGCGGCTCTTTGGCCCCTTCAGTGTGGCTCTTCCACAAAATACCACATGCGGGCGCGCACGTACAGTGCGATTGAAACTGCATGGCCCATGCACAGAAGTCGGTATTTTGTGGAAGAGCCACACTCAAGGGGCCAAAGAGCCGCATGTGGCTCGAGAGCCACAGTTTGCCGACCACTGCTAGGAGGTCTCTGCCCTCGCCACGCAGCCCTGACTGCCGCCTGGAGGGTGTGGGACACCTGTGACCTGGCTCCGAATCCTGCCCACACCCTGGCCTGCGGGTCCCACAGGACACCTTGTCGGCCATCGCAGAGTCGCAGGCAGCGGGCGGGGAAGCTGGGTCCTCGTGCCACTCAGGCCCGGCTCCCAGGGCACTCCCTCGCCACTGGGCAAGGCCTGAGCTGGAACCACTTCTCCTTCGCAGTCACGAAATCCAAGTGCCCCTCCTACGTGGGTGTCACAGGGATCCTCCTGCAGGAAACAAAGCACGTTTTCAAAATCATCACCAAAGAAGACCGCCTGAAAGGTACGCGCTGTCCCCGCGGGCACTGCGCTACACCTGCCCCTGGCTCAGCCAGCACCTCCCTGAGGAGCAGCTGGACGCCGACAGGCAGGAGGCAGGGCAGCACCTGCCCCTGGGGGCGCGGGAGCTGCGCCCTTGGCGGTGAGCCTGTGGGTCCGGGAGGTCTGCGAGCCCCCCTCCAGGTCCCCCTCTAGCCACGGTGCAGGCGTGAGCCGCGCCGGCACAGGAAGTTCAAACCACACGTGGGGGGTTGGTTCCCTTAATTTTTTTTTTTTTTTTTTTTATAAATGTTACTTTTCTTTGAAAAATATTTTTTTAGTTGATTTCAGAAAGGAAGGGAGAGAGAGAAAGAAATATCATTGATGGAGAATCACGGATCGGCTGCCTCCTGCACACCCCTGCACTGGGGATGAAGCCCGCTGACTGGTCAGGTGCCCTGACCGGGAATCGAGCCCTGACCTCCTGGTTCATGGGGCGACACTTAACCACTGAGCCCCGCCGGCCGGCGGTTGCTTTAATGTCTGAGCTGGCTTTTCCTGCCGCTGCCGCCCGTCTCCCTGCGGCTCTTTCGCTCTAGTTTTCCCCCAGCGCAGAGCCGTTTGTGGGGGACCTGGGCTGGCGCTGCCCTGGGAGGTCCTGGTGCTGAGAGGTGGGCTCTGACCTTGGGCCCTGACCGTGGGGGCTGAGCTTTGTTGAGGACGTGAGTGACCTGGCTGTGCAGGGGGACCCCGCCGGCCCGGTTTCCTGGTAGCTCCTTTCTAGAGCCTCGTGGGCAGGGCTGCGGCAGGCGGGCCGGTGCGGGTCCCCACGCGGTCTCCCCCTCCGCAGTGATCCCCAAGCTGGGCTGTGTGTTCTCCGTGGAAACCGACGGCTTCGTTTCCTACATTCACGGGAGCAAATTCCAGCTCCGGTCGAGCGAGCGGTCCGCCAAGAAGTTCAAAGCGAAGGGAACTGTGGACCTGTGAGCGCTGCGGCCCACGGGGTCACGGCCGAGAGGAGCGCCGGCCCGAGCCCAGCTCCTAGGAGACGGCAGGCGCTTCCGGGGAGACCACCCCGGTCGGTAGGACACCTGGGAAGAAACGCCTGGTGTCGGGGAGCAGGGTGCACAGTTCCGGGGGCCTGCGTGTTCCTCCCTCCCGAGGAGAGAGGGGCAGGAGACACCGAGCGGCCCTCTGGCTCGTGGGCGTGGGGGCTCCGCCGCCCGTCCTGCGTCTGCTGCTCTGTGACGCGAGCTGTCTGTGATAATAAAAGCATTTGGGCCTCGGCTCCAGTTCCCAGTCTCCTGCCGTGCAGCAGGTGGGAGGGTGGGGGAGGGTGGGGCTGGGCAGGGCCGCCTCAGGCCTCAGCTTCCTCTGCAGACACTGCCCACAGGCGCGGGGCCCAGCTCTGGTCTGTGACCGGTCTGGACCACAGTTTCTGCTGAGCTCCTCCACCCTCCCTCCCTCTGGGGCCTGGGTGGCAGAGGGGGCTCCCTGGAGGGGGCTCCAGGTCCGAGCAGCTGTGGGATCTGAAGAAGGTGGTCACCCCCAGGCTCAGGGCAGGGCCCGCAGAGCCATCGAGGACCTGGGCAGTCACCTGCCCGCTGGGCTCGGGCCGGCAGGAGGAGAGGCGGGCAGAGGCGTGGGCTCTGGCTGCCAGTCCCCAGTCCCCAGGAGACGCGGAGGCTCTGCTGCCTAGTGGGAGGGAGAGCTGCTGGGAAAGTTCCGGCCCATGGGCCAGGGGGCATTCCGCCAGCCATGAACCCGGGGCCTCAGTGTCACCCTCTGTCCAGTGGGGCCAGCAGACGATGGGGGTTTCCTGGAGATGCACCTGAGACTTCCTGCCCCGGGATCGCGGGGTGCATGTGACCGCATCCAGGTCCTGGGCTGCAGGGGGACCCCAGGGCCCCTGGAAGCTTCGCGTCCTCTGAGGCCCAGCTGCTTCTCTGTCACTGACGTTTGGGGATCGTGGGCTCCAGGTGGTGTCTGACGTCCCTCCAGCCCGGGCGTCTGGGCTGGGACGGCGCTTCCGGGTGTGGGAAAGGTCCGCAGCTTCACGTGGGCTCAGAGTAAACGTGGCCGCCGCCGCCGTACATGCTTGGAAAGAGCTCTCTCTGGACAGCGGCGCGTTCTCATGGCGCTGCGTTTCGTCGCTGTAATGCCTAATTAAGACATCTGTTAAGTGCCACTGATATTAACTTAATCGAGGGACTTCTAGTAGGACTGTACTGGAATTGTCCATTTAATTACCCGCCTGGGCCCTTAATGGGTGTCTTAAACAGGCGTCATTACCGAGAGTGGGAGACAGATTAAAACGAGTCGTGACGCTCCTGGTGATCGTTCCTGGGCTGTGAAGGGCGAGCGTGACGTAGTGGACGCGTGGACGCAGAGACGGCTGGGTGCGGGCTGGCGTCCCGCACGGCCAGGCTGACTGTCCTGGCGGCTTTGCCCACAGAAGCACAGCCCCTGCGTGCCTCTCCCAGGAAGCGGTCCCAGGCCTGGTCCTGGGTGAGGCAGGAGATGGTGCCTCACCCAGCGGGCTCGCTAACTACCAGCAGGTGCGTGGATCTCGCACTCACAGCCCCACCAACCTCCTTGAGTCCCAGTGGTTCCCCTCGCCCTCTCCACCTCCCAGGCCCCAGCTCCCACCCCCGCCCAGCATCTCAGCCACAGCCTCCCACCACCTCCCTCCTTACGTGGCCCTGGCCACAGCCAGGCAACCTCTGTGACCCGTGACTCAGGTCCTGTCACCCATCTTCTGCCCAAACCCACGCACGAGTTCCCAGGACCCTGAGAATGACAGGCGCTCTGACCCAGCCCGGCCTGCCCCTGCCACCCTCTCTCAGCCCCTAACCCCCCCGCCACCCGTGTCCTGCCGCCTCCGCGCACGGTGCCACCGCCACTCCTGCTCGGCCTCTGGGCTGGACCTCCCACAGGACCCTCCTGCACTCTCCACACCACTTAGCCCTGAACAGCCGCGCCTGCTCCTTTACCGAATATGACGGGGCGCCGGGCTGGCCTCCACCATCATCACATGGTAACCTCGGGCGACCTAGGCGGGCCTCGCACACGGTGAGTGCGCAGAAATATTTGTTGTGCGACCAGAAGAAAACAAAACAGCCAAGGGGTGGGGGTGGGGGGGGGGAGAGGTACAAAGGGCGAGAGGCCCCCCCGCAGCCTCTTAGCCGGGACTCTTGTCTCCTGGTTCGGAACTTCCTCCCCCCTTCCCCGAGCGGGCGCCCCCGCTTCCCCAGCCACTGCCCACTCTACCTCCTCAACCCCTGGTGAGGCACGTGGGACTCGGTTGGGGAAACTGAGGCCCAGAGAGCAAAAGCCAGTGGCCAGAGTCATCCTGGGAGTAGAGGGCAAGGCAGGGCAGGGCAGGGTGCCCAGCCCCACCCCAGCCAGGTTCCTCTAGGTGCGCCCTTCCCTGGCTGGGAGGTAAGGCCCCAGGTAGGGTGGTGGCATTTTTGAGGGTCCCTTGCAGCCCAGAACAGGATCACTGGCACCCAGGTCAGGGGCCTGAGGGGTGACACCCCACATCCCACCAGCTGTCCGCACTCTGGCCCCTCCCAGCCACAGGGCAGCTGCAGAAGGGTTTGCATCCATTGTCTGCCCCCAGGGGCCTGCACCCAGCCGAGCTGTGAGTCTCAGCTCCTCCCTCACCCTCTGTGCGGCACAAAAACCACAATAAAAATAATACAAAACACCAAAATAAGTGACTCGGGAATTGGTGTTGAATGAAGCACTGAGACTTGCTGGGGCCTGGCGCCTGGCGCCGCCTCATGAAACCACCCCCAATTCAGTCCAGATGAGCCTCAGCTCAGCCCAGTGTGATGAGATGATTGCTCCCAGGAGCGACCAGCAACCCCACCATGCTTTCCCCACAGTCGGCTCCCAGCTGCTGGCTGGCAGGAGGGAGGGAGGGAGGCGCCCCGAGATGGAGGGAGAGATGGAAGCACCAATCCAGCTGTCTGGGCTTGGCTCAGTGGTTGAGCATTGACCTATGAACCAGGAGGTCACAGTTGGATTCCTGGTTGGGGCGCATGCCTGGGTTGCAGGCGCGATCCCTAGGGGGCGGGGCGGGGGTGGGGTGGGGACGGGGGAGGGGCGGGGGTGCAGGAGGCAGCTGATCCATGATTCTCTCTCATCATTGATGTTTCTGTCTCTCCCTCTCCCTTCCTCTCTAACAGCAATAAAAATATATTAAAAAAAGAAGAAGAAGGGACCTGGGGACACCTCAGGGGCCTTATGTCTAAAGTGGTGAAGCAGCCTCCGCCCTCTGGTGTGACTGAGACGTGTGCATGCTCCTGGCTCAAACACACGGCTGTTTCCTTTTCATTATGTTTTTCCCAGCTTTCTTTTTGTTCCCCAATCCCGACACCCTGAGCCCCACAGCCAGGAAGGAGCAGAAAAGTCCTCAGGGAGCCCTCGCTTTTTCCACAGCTTGTGGCTGGGCTGACTCAGCTTCTACCCCTCCGTGAGTCACGAGTTTTTCCTCTTCTTGGAGGAGCATGGCCCTCCGCCCAGGTCTCCTCCGACCACGCGGGCCCCATGGGGAGGGACAGGCAGCTGCATGACGGAGTCTGCGCTGCTTCCAGGGCCTTCTCCGGAGCTCCATCCAGAACAGCACAGCTGGGAGGAAGGGCAGACGAGGAGACAGAGGTCCTAGTGGACCCCTGACCAACAGTGAGAGGAGGCTTGTTGGGGTCTCCTGACTCCAGGACCAACATCCTTTCCCCAGTTTTCCAGAACCATGGAAACGCCTCCTTCTCCAGACACCTGCTCTGGGCCTGGCACAGTGCTGGGTGCCAGGCAGGGTGCTGTGGTAGCGAGCTACATAGCTGTGCCCTTGGCATAAAAAGTGTGTACAGCTGGGATGGCATTTCCCAGAGTCGCCATGTCCCAGCTGACCTCTGAGCTTACGCCTCGGCCTCTGGGATCCTGGGGGCTGTCTCCCCCTCTGTATGGAGGCCTGGCTGCCCCATCAGGACCCATAAACCCACAGGCTTCCTGAACTGCAGGGGCGTCAGTGGGCAAACTGAGCGAGAGGGTTCCACGGGGCTCTGTGGGGGCGGCAGTGGCCGGGAAACCACCCCTGTCTGCGGGCACAGCTCTGCCTGGAGTTGGGCACCATGGCTGACCTTCTGTGCATGTTTGACAATTTCCGCTATAAAAGGTTTAAAGTAGATCAAATGCGCCAGGCTGTGTGGCCCAGTGGTTGAGCGTCGACCTCTGAACCAGGTCACCGATCAGAGCATTTGCCGGGGTGCAGCCCCATCCCCAGTATGGGGCGCGCAGGAGGCAGCCAATCAATGATTCTCTCTCATCATTGATGTTCCTTTCTCTCCCTCTCGCTTCCTCTCTGAAATCAATAAAAATAGATTTAAAAATTAATAAAATAGAGAAAATGCTGCTGATTTGTTAAAGTGATTATTAACCTCTAGCGGAGATGACCACGTCAGCGGACAGCAGGACGCCCCGCCCAGGCCCGGCCGCCGGGCGCAGGACCCACGCACTCAGCTCGGCCGCTCCGCCCGCGCACATCGCTGGGACTCGGCTCTGCGGGCTGGGCGCCCAGGCCCCGCCCCCGCCGCGCGCCAGGCCTCCGATTGGCGGAGCCGCCGGGGGGCGTGTCCGGAGAGTCCGGCCGCGGCGTGGGCGCGGCGGGCCGGGCAGCGGCGGGCGAGCGGGACGCGGGCGGAGTGCGGCGCGCGGGGTCCAGGCGGAGAGGTGAGCGCGACCCCTGGCAGGGCAGGGGCGGAGAGGTGAGCGCCCCCCGGGGCAGGGCAGGGCCCCCGCCGCTGCCCACGCGCCCCGCACCGCCGGGTCCCGTGGGTGCGCGGCCAGGGCGGCTCGGACTCTGGCCCGCAGCGGAGGCGCGGAGCAGGCGCTCCTGGCTGGCGGCGGGGTGGGGGCTTAGGGGCTCCGCGGAGAGAGGGGGGACAGGAAAAGGGGCGCGGGGCCGAGGAGGGGTCCTCGGGGTGCGCGACGTGTGGACGGAGGGGGCTCTGGGTCGCCCGCTGTCCGGGGTGTTGTTGGGAGAGATCCGGCCTCCCCCGCCGTCGGGGCCTCCCTCCTGGTCCCTGTCCGTGGGGTCTGGAGAAGGGGGGACCGCTGCCCCCGCGGAGGGAGTGGGGGTGCGTGGCTGCCCGGGCCTCCCAGCCCCTCATTGTGGAGCCGCCTGCCCTCTGACCCGCGGAGTTTGTGACTTCGGGGGGTTTGTCCAAGGAAGCAGGCTGGGCGCCCATTTCACGGAAGAAGTCAGTGAGGCCGCTCCTGCCCGCCTGGGATCCGCCCGATCCCCTCCCTCTCCCGCCAGCCCCGTGCAGGGGGGGATGGAGGCCCATCGCCCACACTTGCCGGCGAGGCCAATGTCCGGAATCTGAGCGAAGCGGCTCACAGGAAGCGGGGCGGGGGCCGCTCTTGCCGCCTCGTTTCCACTTGGGGGAGGGGTGTTCCTGGTAGCGATTCCCACTGGGGTCTGCAGGCACAGCGATGACTGACCTCAGCCGTGTCCCGCACACGTCAGCCCTGGGGCTGCCAAGACCCAGAGGGGAGGCGGCCCAGCTGAGCTGAAGGACCTGCCCGACCCCGCCTGCCCCCAGCGGCCCCATGACCTGGGAGGTCAGGGAGGGGTGACGATCAGGGGTGAAGATCTGATTCTGGTTTTGGTCAAGAGCAGCCGTCAGCCTGGCTGGTGTGGCTCACTGGTTGAGCATCGACCTGTGAACCAGGAGGCCACGGGTTCGAATCCCAGTCAGGGCACAGGCCCGGGCTGTGGGTTCCATTCCCACCCAGTGTGGGGCATGCAGGAGGCAGCCGATCAGGGATCCTCTCTCATCATTGATGTTTCTCTCTCTCTCTCCCTCTCCCTTCCTGTCTGAAATCAGTGGGAATATTCTTTTAAAATAAATAGAGAAGAGCAGCCCGCAGCTGCCCGCGGGTAGTTCAGAGCTGGGCTTCCCGGTCCCTCCGCTGGTACCCTGGGCAGGGACTCCGAGGACGGAGGGGGCTTGAGTGAAGATTAAGGGAGATAACACTTGCAATGCGCGTCCCGCTGTGCCCTGTGCCCTGTGGTTTATTTTCCTCATTCCTGTTCTTTCTGGGGGGAGGGCCTTCTGGGAAGCCTGGGGCTGGGCGAGGCTGAGAGGCGGCCCCGCTGCATCGGGCAGAGCACTTGGTCAGTGGCACCACCCTAGCCACACCCCTTCATCCCCCACCAACCCCCAGTGCCCTGGGAGATACCCCAACTCCTGTCCTGGCTGTGGGCCTGTGACAGGCCCCCGTGGCCCCTCTGACCTGACCTCACCCTCCTCCCTCCACGGCCTCCGAGGGTCCCTGCGCCCTTCCCTGGGCCCAGACATGCTTCCCTCCGGCCTGTGCAGGGCTGGCTCCCCCACAGGGTGCAGGCGGTGCCAGGTGACTGTCCCTGATTCTGCCTGGCACCTCCCAGCCCTGCCGGGCACGTCAGCCTTCCTCCTGGTGGCCAGCACTCGGCATCAGAAATGACCTGCTCGGTTCACTTTCTAGCAAACGCCGCCCACCAGAAAGTCTGCCTCTGAGGGCTGGTCCCCGCTCCCTGCTGGGAGGGTGCCCACACCCCTCTGCTAGGGCTCAGAGCTGTCCTCCATCAGTGGAGGGAGGGAGGGAGGGAGGTTCATTTTCTCATGAGAACAGCAAACAGAAGAGGCCTCCCCATCAGCTGAGGGATGGGGGTGGGGAGGCAGGAGGAGGCGGGGCTGCTGTTTTTACCAAGAAAAACCCCCAGGTCCTGTCACACAGGGTGTGAAGCTAAGGTCATGGGGAGGTGGGCGGATGCCAGGGGAGCCGCTGGGACCTGGCCAGGCCCTGTGCTCACTTCCTCCAGGCCACGCCCACGGGCCCTCTGCTCAGGGGGGACCTGCAAGCCAGCCCCGGAGCTCACCCACCCACAGGGCCGCTCTGGCTCTTCTCGGCCCCGGGCCGTCTCCCTCAGCTGTGGGGTCACAGGTCTCGGTCCTGGGCTGCAGCCTGGGTTCCCACCCGTCTGCCTGCCGCCTGACCCAGGAGTGTGCCTGGCACGGGTGGCCCAGGCCCCTGCCGGTGCCCATGCCAGGCCTGCGGGCGCCCCGACCAGGAGAGCTCAGCGCTCCGCACCCACACAGGGTCCTGTGAGCTCGCCTCTGAGACTTACATTTAGACAGAGAGACGAGCCGGGCACGTCCCCACTTCCCACATCCGCTGGCGGGATGTCATCTCGTTTGCTGCTGCGCTTTTTAAATAAAAGAAATAAAATAGTGCAGACAAGGCCTGCCTGCTCCCCTCTTCCGGGTTCATCCAGCCCCCCCTGCCCACCCAGGCCACTCTCCCCTGACTTTTCCCCCCAAATATGTTTTTATTGCTTTCAGAGAGGAAAGGAGAGGAAGAGAGAGAGAGAGAGACATCAACGATGAGAGAGAACCATGGACCGGCTGCCTCCTGCACGCCCCACACTGAGGATGGAGCCTGCACCCGGGTCTGTGCCCTGACTGGGACTCGAACCCTGACCTCCGGGCCTAGGCTGATGTCCAACCACTGAGCCCTCCAGCCGGGCTCCTCAGCACTTGGTGTTCGTCCTGCTGACCTGCGAGGTCTGGAGCACGTGTAGCCCCAGACGCCATCCCATGTGTGAGACCCGCCGTCTCACCGCCACCCGCTGCCAGCGTCGCCGTGGTCCTCGCTGTGGGGACTGAGGTCACTGCCTGGTGTGTCTCCCTCCACTGCTCTCTGAGCTCCTCCCAGGAGCCCTCCCTCCATCCCAGGACCCCAGCTCAGCCTAAAGGCCCTGGGGTGGCACCCAGGGCAGGGTCAGCGATGGTCCCAGCAGGGCTGTCCCCAGAACCAGCAAGGTCTGCATGCGGCACACAGCCCGGTCAGACGCCTAAACAGCCGCTGGTACAGAAGGTGCTGTGGGCGCCTCTCAGGAGGCCTGCGGGCGGGAGGCCAGCGCCCCGTGACTAGGGCTGAGCTGCTTGTGCAGTGCACCCGCCTCCCTGCAAGGCCCTGCCCCACTTCCACAGGTGGTGGCGGGGGAACCACGAGGTGCTGACCCAGAAACACCGATCCTGTGACCTCCTGGCCCATAGGTCGATGCTCAGCCACTGAGCCACGCCCACTGGGCCATCTGTTTATTCCGTCCCTTAGACTTCACATAGGGGTGAGCTCATGTGACCCTCACTGCCCTCTGACTGGCTTATTTTGCCTCCCATGATGCTCTCCATGTCACCATCTTTCCTGCGGCCTCCCCATCCCTGGCTCCCCACACGCCCCTCCCGGGGGGACCCCTCACCTCCCAGTGACTCCTTGTCTCAGGGTGGGCCTCTGGGCAGGAGGGGGTTGGAGAAGGGCTGGGCAGTGGGGTCCCGCCCTGGGGCCGCCCGCTGACGCCCTGTGCGCCCTCCGCAGCCCGGGACGATGGTGGAGCAGCTGGCGCACACGGAGATCAACCGCCGGCGCATCGCCGAGGTGGAGCGCTGCTTCGGGGCGTCGGGGCAGCCGCTGGCGCTGCCGGGCCGCGTGCTGCTGGGCGAGGGCGTGCTGACCAAGGAGTGCCGCAAGAAGGCCCAGCCGCGCGTCTTCTTCCTCTTCAGCGACGTCCTGGTCTACGGCAGCATCGTGCTCAGCGGGCGCCGCTACCGCGCCCAGCGCGTCATCCCGCTGGAGGAGGTGACGCTGGAGCCGCTGCCCGAGACGCGGCAGGCGCGGCACCGCTGGCTGATCCGCACGGCCCGCAAGTCCTTCGTGGTGTCGGCCGCCTCGGCCTCCGAGCGCCAGGAGTGGATGGGCCACATCGAGGAGGGCGTGCGGCGGCAGCTGCGGGCCTCGGGCCGCGCGCCCAGCACGGAGCACGCGGCGCCCTGGGTGCCCGACAAGGCCACGGACATCTGCATGCGCTGCACGCACACCCGCTTCTCGGCGCTCACGCGGCGCCACCACTGCCGCCAGTGCGGCTTCGTGGTCTGCGGGGACTGCTCCCGCGCCCGCGTCCTGCTGCCGCGCCTGGCGCCCAAGCCCCAGCGTGTCTGCGGCCTCTGCTACCGCCAGCTGGCCGCCCAGAGGCGCCAGGGGGAGGGGGAGGGGGCGGTGGGAGGAGAGGGGGGCCCGGGCGCGGGGTCCCCTTCCGAGGCCGGGGCCGGCTGCGGGGTGTCCAGTGGGGATGAGGACGATGATGACTCGGAAGAGGACAAGGAAGGCGGCGGGGAGGGCGACTGGCCCAGCCGCATCAGGTTCTACGACTCCGGGGTCTCCTGGTCCTCCTTCCACAGCTGACAGCGGCCTCGGCTGCCGGTGGGGCCCCAGTCACTTCTGCATCGGCGTGGACACCCCCCTCTCCTGAGGGTGCAGAGCCCCCGAAGCTGCCCGGCGCCCCCAGGACCCGTGCTGGGCTGGTGGGTGGCAGTGGGAAAGGCACGGGCCCTCCCGACCCCCAGACCCTCCTCTGCACATGGGCATCTCTGTCCACTTCGGTTCTCTCTCCGGGTAGCAAACCCCACGCACAGGCCTCCTGGGCCGGAGGCCATTGCTCAGCCCTGAGAGCTGTGCTGCCTGAGGGACAGGCCCTGGCGCCTCATGGGACAGCGAGTCCTGCTTCTCTGGGGCTGTGATCCGCAGCACGGGACCCGCGACCAGGACGCCCACAGGGACCATGTTGCTCCGGGACCAGGCCTGCCCACGCCCCTGGCTGGTGCCCGCCTGCCCGTCAGCTGGGCTCTGTCAGGCTGGGCATGTGGGCTCCCCGAGCAGCGGTGCCCACCAGGCTGGGGCCGCAGCCTGAGCTCCGGGTGCAGGGCAGCCTGCCCAGGCCTCGCACCTCGCACTGTGTCCCGATGTCGGGGGCTGGCGCCTCCCGGTCCTCCTCCCTCCCTGTGGCCGGGGAAGCTGTGTTTCCTGTGGGGACTGACTTCCAGTACAGAAGCCTCACCAGGCTGACTCCTCATAACCAGGAAGCTCACGGCAGCTGTGGTTGAAAGGCCAGGTGTCCCCCGGGCTGTGTGCTCCAGAGGCTGACCCCGTGCTGGGGTCGCAGTCCACCCTGCACCAGGCCGGGGACCAGGGCAGCAGTGGGCTCAGGGGTTCCCACCGCATCCAGGTGGTACCCACGCACACTCCCGCCCGCCAGGGCCCCGGCACCTGCAGTGGGTCATGTGCTGAGTCCCCGAGCGGCAGGCAGCGTGAGGCAGCAGGAGCCGCACGTCCAGCTGGACCCGGGACCCCGCGGTGGGGCCTGTAGATGGGGAGGCCCCGGTGCAGCGAGTGTGTGTGGGGTCAGCAGCCGGATGCCCGCCTGGCCCACACCTGGCCCCGGAGCCCTGGGCCCTTTCCGGCTGTGTCCAGTGGGTGCTTCTGCTGCCTTTGCCCACCACCTGGCGCTGTGGCAGGGCGGGCTCACTGCCATCTGGATGGTGCCTTAGGACCGGGAGAGGCAGGCGCGGTGCCCGAGACCCCACCATCAGGTTCCCGTCCCTGGGAGACGAGGCCTCTCTGGCTGAGTCTCAAAGGTCTGCCTAGAGCAGCGGTTCTCCACCTTCCGGCCCTTTACATACAGCTCCTCATGTTGTGACCCAACCATAACATTATTTTCCTTGCTGCTTCATCACTGTCATGTTGCTACTGTTATGAATCGTCATGTAAATATCTGATATGCAGGATGGTCTTCGGCGACCCCTGTGAAAGGGTTGTTCGACCGCCAAAGGGGTCGCGGCCCACAGGTCAAGAACCGCTGCCCTAGAGTCTGACCCTGACTCAGCAGGTGGGGCCCGGCTCTAGGCAGCAAGGCTGAGCCTACTGTTCACAGGCAGCCATGGGGGGGCGGGGGGGGGGGGAGCACGGGTGCAGGAGGTTAGAGAGCGAGGTTCCCAGGAACTGTGAGGCCTTCCTCACGGGGCAGAGGGACCAGACCAGGTTTGTGTTTTCGGGGGGCGGGGAGGTGGCAGAGGTGCATCCAACAACAACTGGTTTGTGTACAAGCCTGGGCCTCGCTGGGCCACACAAACTGGTCCTGGCTGGTTTTGCACTGACAGAGGGCTCTGGGCAGACAGGTCAGGGGGTGAGGGGTAACTTCCTGAAGCCACATGGGGTGCCCTCCCAGCAATGAGGCTAGGCAGCCAGTCCCTTCACCCTGCCTGGTGCTGGGCAAGGGGTGCGGGGTGCCCAGTCCCAGCCAAGGCCTCCAGGTCTCAGCCCCTCCCCCGCCTGGTCCCTGGTCCGGGGCAGCGCTCATCAGGGCACGAGCGAGGTCTGCAGGCAGCTGGGCAGGGACCAGGGCCATGTTCTGAGTCCCTCCCAGAATCCACCTCCTGCTGGCTCCCCCACCCACACCCCCACCCCCATCTCGAGGAGCCAGATCCAGAATGTTCCAGCGCTGACAACAGAAAGGCAGGCCCCAGGAGCACGGGGTGGGCGGACAGAGCCAGACTCTCTGGGCAAAAAGCAAGGGAAGTTCCAGTCCCTGGAGCGTGCGCTGCGGGCCCTGCCAGGGGCTCCCACTCCAGCAGGAGGCTTTCCCAGACCCGGCCTGCCCGGGGCACCCAGGCGGCAGGGGGAGCGGGGGCCTCGTCTGCCTGCAGTTCTTTCTCTCCGTAACCTGCCCCTCCAGCTGCCACAGCGGTGCCCTGTATCCAGCTTTAAATGACCCACATTCTTAAAATGCCAAAATGGCCCGGCCGGCGTGGCTCGCGGGTTGAGCATGGACCTATGAACAAGGAGGTCAGGGTTCGATTCCCGGTCAGGGCAGAGGCCCTGGTTGTGGGCTCAATCCCCAGTGTGAGGCGTGCAGGAGGCAGCTGATCCATGATTGCCTCTCATCATTGATATTTCTCTCTCTCTCCCTTCCTCTCTGAAATCAATAAAATGTATATATTTTAAACTGCCACTTCTTCACCCAGCAGCTTCACTTTGAGGGATCTCCCTAAAGACCATCCATCATGAGGCAAAATACAGGGGATATTAACACAAAAATGCCCACGAGCATTTAGGATTCTAAAGACCCCCCTCCTACCCCCAGGCAGCCGCACCGGGCAGGGGCAGCTCAGAGCCAAGGAATGTTACAGCCGCCACACACGTGGGCGGGAATTACGGGTCACAGCCCCAGTGTTCATCTGTGAAAGGGTTCACAGTGGCCAAACAGAAAGGATGCAAACGCGATGGAAACACACACACACACACACACACACCCAGACACAGGGAGGGAGGCAGAGCAACACACCCTGTGGCACTGGGAGGTGGAGCAGCGCCCCCTGGAGACACTGGGAGGTGGCGCAGCGCCCCCTGGAGACACTGGGAGGTGGAGCAGCGCCCCCTGGAGACACTGGGAGGTGGAGCAGCGCCCCCTGGAGACACTGGGAGGCGGAGCAGCGCCCCCTGGAGACACTGGGAGGCGGAGCAGCACCCCCTGGAAGCACTGGGAGGTGGAGCAGCGCCCCCTGGAGGCTCTGGGAGTGGAGCAGCGCCCCCTGGAGGCTCTGGGAGGCGGAGCAGCGCCCCCTGGAGACACTGGGAGGTGGAGCAGCGCCCCCTGGAAGCACTGGGAGGTGGAGCAGCGCCCCCTGGAAGCACTGGGAGGTGGAGCAGCGCCCCCTGGAGGCTCTGGGAGTGGAGCAGCGCCCCCTGGAGACACTGGGAGGTGGAGCAGCGCCCCCTGGAAGCACTGGGACGTGGAGCAGCGCCCCCTGGAGGCACTGGGAGGTGGAGCAGCCTGGAAAGGTGGCCTCAGGCAGGAAATGCCAAGCTTCCTTCCATTTTAAAGTCACCAGCCCCCTGCCTTCCTTTGTCCCTGGCGTTGGGTGTGCCCGCCTCCCGGGTCAGCGATCTTTCCAGGAATCGGAGGGGAAGGCTGTTCAGAGACCGTGTGGGCTCTGCAGACGGGGAGCTGCGGCTCTGAAGGCAGGACAGTGAGTGGGGACCTGAGGGCGCTCACTTCTTCGAGGTCCTCCCGACCCCCCACTCCACCAGGAGCCCCTCTTCCTGCAGCAGCGGCCTCACCAGCGGGACCTGGAGGGGGAGTCCGGCCGGGCTGCTGGGCAGGTGCCCTTCGTGCCCCCCTCTCTCCCCATGAGGCCCCTGGGAAGGGACGAGGGGGGCAGGGGGCGCTCTCCGGGGGCCGCATGATTCCAGCAGGGCCGGCGGCCAGGCCCTGAGTCCCTGGGCCCCGAGGGTCCCCGTCCTGCCAGCGGCGCCCGGACAGCAGTCACCCTCACAGCCGAGCGGCTGAGCCCTCTGCCTCCGTGTCAGGAGAGTGGACGCACAACCTGTCCCCGCGTCAGCCACAGGCGCCAGGTCCCCACGGGCCGCGCCCATGGCGGCTCTGAGAGCTCTTTCTGGAAGGTTCCGAGTGGGCCGGGTGGGGCTCCTATGACACCGGCTGTGATGCATCCACAAGCTTTTGCTTCAGGCGCCCGGGTGCCGCCGGGCTGAGCCCCAGACAGGAGCCGCGCAGAGCGCAGGGGAGACGCGCCCGCGATGGCGGCTGCTCGCGGTGCGGCTGAGCTCAGGCTGCGCCCCGCGTCCCTCCCCGGCCCGGGGTCCCCTGGTCCCTGCGCTGTGCGGGGCTCAGGGCTGCAGGCTCTGCCAGGGATCCGCTCAGCACCGTGAGCTTCTCTCAGCTCGTTTTATTCTCTTTAACCTTCACTTTGCAGAACAGGACCCAGCACAGCCCCCTCCCCTCCCCGCCCCCCCTCCCGCCCCAGGCCCCCCAGGTTAGGTGCCCCCCCCAGCCTAGGCGCCGTACTGCACGGTGGACCTCAGCTCCTTGGTGACGTAGCCCTCCAGCAGCTTCAGCAGCTGCTCCTGCAGGGCCTCGTCTTCCATGACCAGCTTGGTCAGGTGCTTGACGTCCCTCCACTGCAGGCTCCCGATTTTGGCCACGACGTGGCTGCAGAGCTTCTCCTGCTCGGGAGGCGGCAGCTCCTTGAGGATGTGACTGACCGGCTTAAACTCCATGCTCCACGTCAAGGACCCTAAGAGGCCCCCGAGAACGCTCCCTGGAAAACAGGAATTTCGTTTAGTTGGGCTGTTCACCATGCCGGCTCGGGGCTCGCTGGGAGCTCCTCCCCACGATTCAGGCCACAGTCCATGGTGGGGTCCCCCGGAAACCTCCTGCTCCCAGACTACAGGGAGTAACTCACCCGACCTCCAAGGGATCATGGGAAGCAACCAACCTCCCCCATTGGCAGAAACTGGTCCCCAAACGGGAGCCGGGTGAGACCAGGGGCAGGTGCATGTGGGCAACCATGGGCACTCCTCCTGCACAGACTGGGGGCTGGGGCGGGGCCGGGAGCTCTCTGAACAGCTAATGTGAGCAGCCAGAGGCCTGGAATCCCAGCTCCCTCCTGATCCTGCAGTGAAGACAGGAACAGGCCTGCCCAAGGGACACAGGGCACACCCCCGGGGCAGGGCGCCTTCCAGTCCACAGGCACGGAGCCACTGGAGGGCGCCCTGCACATCTGAGACACAGACACGTGTGTCCCACCGGACACGTCTGTGCACAAAGGCCAAGTCTCAGACTCAGCTCGCCAGCCCCTCACGCAGGTCGCAGGCTCCTGTGAGGCCCCTGGGGACCCGGGGCCTCTGTCCCCCACCCCACGGGGCACTGCACTCACCAACGGCTATTCCAGGCGGGCCCCCGAGCAGGCCCCCGACCAAGGCCCCAGTGCCAGCGAACCCCATGGTTCGCCGGTGCATGACTGCCACCTTCATCTTCTTCGCCTCCGAGAGGGAGCACAGCAGGCTCATGGCGTCCTTCTTCGTTAGGTACATCACACACCTCGCCCGCCTGCGGGAGGGAGGGTTCCACCCATCAGTGGTTCCGCCCAAAGCTCGCTCTTCCCAGTGTCCAGGGCGGACCCCCTGCTCTGAGAGGACCCCAGCTCTGCCGTGGGCGAGAGGACAGCACTGTCATGTGACAAGTCCTCTGTCACGGAGAAAGCGGGGCTGCTGGTAGTCAATAAGCAAACAGGCCGGCTGGTGTGGCTCAGTGGTTGAGCATCTACCTGTGAATCAGGAGGTCAGGGTTCGATTCCCGGTCAGGGAACAGGCCCTGGTTGCAGGCTCGATCTCCAGTGTGGGGAGTGCAAAAGGCAGCTGATCCATGATTCTGCTTTCATCATTGATCTTTCTCTCTCTCTCCCTCTCCTTTCCTCTCTGAAATCAGTGGGAATATATTTTAAAAAATAGCCGAAACCGGTTTGGCTCAGTGGATAGAGCATCGGCCTGCGGACTGAAAGTTCCCGGGTTCGATTCCGGTCAAGGGCATGTACCTTGGTTGCGGGCACATCCCCTGTGGGAGGTGTGCAGGAGGCAGCTGATCAATGTTTCTCTCTCATCGATGTTTCTAGCTCTCCATCTCTCTCCCTTCCTCTCTGTAAAAATATCAATAAAATATATTTATTTAAAAAATGAATACATAGAGAAGAGGAGCCTGCAGCCTGTGGGTAGTTTAGAGCTGGGCTTGCTGGTCACTCCACTGGTACGCTGGGCAGTGACTCCGAGGATGGAGGGGGCCTCCCAGTGGCTTGAGTGAGGATTAAGGGAGGTAACACTTGCAATGTGCGTCCTACTGTGCGCTGTGCCCGTGAGCTGTGAGCTCGCAGTCGGTGGTACATGTGATTTATTTTCCTTACTAGTCGCCCAGTGCACGGATTGTGCACATTGAAAGGAAATTAATTAGAAGAAATATTGTAATATCGCTATTCGCCCTTTCTCCATAAAAAAAGTGTCAACCAAATTCACGATTGACAATGACAGATGGAAATACACACGTGCAACTGGTACCAGAGACACCTTTATAGGTATCGTGCATGCCTGAGTCAACTTAGCCTTTTATATATCTAACTAGAGGCCCGGTGCACAAAAATTTGTGCACTCGGGATGGGGGGGGGTCCCCTCAGCCTGGCCTGTGCCCTCTCACAGTCTGGGACCCCTCAGAGGATGTCCACCTGCTGGCTTAGGCCCACTACCTGGGGGATCGAGCCCAAGCTGGCAGTCAGACATCCCTCTGGCAGCGCAGCAGCCCTCGGGGGATGCCCACTTGCCAGCAGGGAGAAGACCTAAGCTGCAGTCGGACGTCCTCAGCGCTGCTGAGGATACAGGAGAGGCTCCCAGCACCACCGATATACTGGCAGCCATCAGCCTGGCTTGTGGCTGAGCAGAGCACCCCCATGTGAGAGCGCCCTGACCACCAGAGGGCAGCTCCTGCATTGAGCATCTGCCCGCTGGTGGTCAGTGTGTGTCATAGTGACCAGTCATTCCCATTCTTTCTGCTGTTAGGGTGAGTTTGCATATTACACTTTTACTATATAGGATAGGGGCCTGGTGCACGGGTGGGGGCTGGCTGGTTTGCCCAGAAGGGTGTCCCAGATCAGGGTGGGGGTCCCGCTTGGGTGCCCAGCCAGTCTGGGTGAGGGGCTGAGGGCCGTTTTCAGGCTGGCTGGCGACTAAAGCTCCCAGCCTCTCCTTTTTTTCTTTTTCTTTTTTTTATTCCAGGATTTATTTACCTTTTATAATTGAAACTTTGTTGCTGTCACTGGCGCTCACAGCTCCGAGGCCGTGGCTGGCTGAAAGCAGGTACCTGGGTTTGTTTAGCTTCTATAATTGACACTTTGTTGCTTTCAAAGCTTAGAGAGGCCGTGGCAGGCGGGGAACCTTGACTTCCTCCATCGCTGGAGCAAGCAAGCCTCCTGCTCGCTTCAGCTGCGTGGCTGCTGACCGCCATCTTTGTTGGCAGTTAATTTGCATATCGCCCTGATTAGCCAATGGGAAGTGTAGCGGAGGTATGGTTAATTTTATTAGATAGGATAGTTACCCAGCACAAGAAATCACGCAAGACCCGGGACCCCAGACCTCACCATGCCACAGGACTCCCCTGAATCCCGCTGCACCACATGACCCAGAGTCAAGTTTCTGCCCAACCACCTGCGCCTTGCTGCGCACGCAGTCGTGCCCACCCGTGCGCACCTTGCCACTCACACAGCGTCCTGGTTACAGGTCTTTGGTCATTATGGCATTAGGGCCACTGGGATTTTATACTAAGACCAGGTGCATGAAAATTCATGCACTAGAGGGGGCTCGCTCAGCCCAGCCTGCCCCCTCTCACACTCTGGGAGCCCTCATGGGGGGGAGGCAGCCTGGTGATCAGGGGAAGGTGACCCGCCATCACACCACTGCTGCCGCCACTGCCGGCAGCACACGCCTCAGCTGAACCTGGCTACCTGAGCCTCGGGTGGTCCTGGGCAGCTGGGGGCCTGAGGGGACAGGGCGCCACCATCTTGTGGCTGTGGGCACTGCCATCTTTGAGAGCAGAGCAGTCAATTAGCATACTCCCAATTTATTAGATAAGACTAGAGGCCCAGTGCACAAATTTGTGCACCTGTGGGGTCCCTCCGCCTGTCCTGCAGGATTGAGCCAAAACCGGCTCTCCAACATCCCCCAAGGGGTCCCATATTGTGAGAGGGTGCAGGCTAGACCGAGGGACCCCACCGTGCACAATTGGGGCCAGGGAGGGACACGGGAGGTTGGCCAGCTTGGGAGGGACCGCAGGAGGGCTCCAGGGCATGGCTGACCTATCTCACTCAGTCCCAATCAGCCAGACCCGAGCAGCAAGCTAACCTGCTGGTCAGAGCATCTGCCCCCTGCTGGTCAGTACACATCACAGCAAGCGGTTGAGCAGCCTTAGCATATCATTAGCATATTACACTTTGATTGGTTGAATAGATGACCTGTTGACCAGACACTTAGCATATTAGATTTTTATTAACTATAGATATAAAAAGCAAGCAATCATAATGGCATCATGACCAGAACAACCAGAGACCAAAACACTGCAGCCCCTCCCCCAAGCTGGCCCCGCCCCCTGTGGGAACCCCACCCTGATGGGGATGTGGCCAGCCTGCAAAGCCCCTACAGCTCCTTGCCCTGCCTGGCTGTGGCCCCCCAGTGGGGACCCACCACCCAGGTCCGTGGCCCCCATCAGGGCTGGCCAGCCGGCCCCCACCCATGTACTAGGCCTCTATTCCTATATAATAAGAGGGTAATATGCAAACTGACCCTAAAGGCGGATCGATCAGAAAGACCACTGGACCAGGCAGTATGAGACACAGTGACTACCTTATGGTTCCTTTCCCCGGCCGGCAGGCTCCGATCACCTGATGGCGAACGGGGAACCGGGGCTGGGTGTCAGGGGATGTGGGTGGCACCAGGCCAAGACCCCTGCCCTGCCGGTCGCCCCACACACAGAGGTCAACCCATGACAGGGGCAGGGGTGGTGAGCGGGCGGGAACAACCGACCTCTCAATCCCTTCCCCTGGCTGTCAGTCATCAATCACCCAATGGCAACAGGGGAACCAGGGGTGGGTGGCAGTGGCGGGCGGGGTCAGCTGTGGGCAGCCAGGGAAATGGCCCTGATTGCAGGCCAGGCCTAGGAACCGTACCTGCACATGAATTTCGTGCGCTGGGCCTGTAGTATAGGATAATAAACTTGCTAAATTAGACCTGCTTTCTGATGTAGCTAAACTTTTTCCAGTCCAGTGAAGCACCCCAACTTCTCTTTCATGTATTTGTCAGTAACACAGCAGTAAATATCAACACAAAGCAGATCATTATTGTAGATCACGCAGGGAGAACAAAGGGTAAAATATTTAACTGCAGCCGTGTCTGACTATATTCTGTGCAGTGAGAAAGCCTGAAGTCATTGTCAAGGTCCACCATTTCTTACTTCTTGTCAGTCGGGTCAAGTTTCTAAGCTTTCTAAATCTTTGTTTTCTGGCTAATGAAAGAAAATAGAATTCCACCGAGTCTCCTATCTGCCTACTCCAGGACTTCTGTGAGGATCAAATGAGATGAGCAGCGGAACATGCTTCACAGACATTTGTTTAAAGTGTGAAATGTTTGCACCTGGCTATAAAGCAAGCCGTGTTCCTGGGCTGAAGACACTGCAAGGAGGCTAGTCGTTGCTAGGGAGGGGAAGCCGGGCGTTGCAACCTGACGTCATTACCTGGATGGACCCTTAGCACATTAGCCTTTTACGTAGATAGATTCCTCTTCTTTCTGTGGGTGGGGGTGGGGGGGGGGGAAGGCCTTCTGGGAAGCCCAGGGCTGGGTGAGGCTGAGAGGCGGCCCTTCTGCGGGGTAGGATGGGGGGGAGGGGATTGGTGGGGGAGGCGAGCACTTGGACAGTAGGACCCCCCTCGCCCACACCCGCCGCACCCACCTGTCAGAATGCTGTCAACGATGTGGCAGGAATGAGACAAACACTTGGAACTGGACCAGCACAGCAGATGGACGCCTGCGAGAAGGATGCTCCTCCAGCTGGAATCCTGGGCCACATCACACTTAAAGGGTATTTCCTTTCGGTTTCATTTCCTGCCGCGGGTCTGCCTGGCCTCACTCTGAACTCTGACTTGGTTGGTCAGGGCTCAGAGCTGGTTTTCCCATTAACTCCCAATTGGCTAATTCCAAGGAAAGGGAGGGTGAGGCGGAGCCTAAGTTGGCGGCCCCCTGAGAGTCTGAAAGTCGTATCAGAAATGGCAGAGCCTAAGGTGGCAGTGACCTCCTTTCTTTGACAGAAAGATCGCTGGTTCACTCTCACCCCCCCCCCCCCCCCCCAGTGCACGGGGAGACACCCCAACTCCTCCTCCTGGCTGTGGGCTGTGACAGGCCCTCTGACCTGACCTCACCCTCCTCCCTCCACGGCCTCCGAGGGTCCCTGCGCCCTTCCCTGGGCCCAGAACGTGCTTCCCTCCGGCCTGTGCAGGGCTGGCTCCCCCACAGGGTGCAGGGGGTGCCAGGTGACTGTCCTCGATCCTGCCTGGCACCACCCAGCCCTGCCGGGCACGTCAGCCTTCCTCCTGGCGGCCACCACACGGCTCGGCATCAGAAATGACCTGCTCGGTTCTCTTTCTAGGAAAAGCCTTCCACCAGGAAGTCTGCCTCTGAGGGCTGGTCCCCGCTCCCTGCTGGGAGGGTGCCCACACCCCTCTGCCAGGTGCCCACACCCCTCTGCCAGGTGCCCACACCCCTCTGCCAGGTGCCCACAACCCTCTGCCAGGGCTCAGAGCTGTCCTCCCTCAGTGGAGGGAGGGAGGTTCATTTTCTGGTGAGAACAGTAAAAAAGGGGGCTGCCCCATCAGCTGGGGGATGGGGGTGGGGAGGCAGGAGGAGGCGGGGCTGCTGTTTTTACCAAGAAAAGCCTCCAGGTCCTGGGGAGGTGGGCAGATGCCCGGGGAGCCCCTGGGACCTGGCCAGCCCTGTGCTCACTTCCTCCAGGCCACGCCCACGGGCCCTCTGATCAGGGGGGACCTGCAAGCCAGCCCCGGAGCTCACCCACCCACAGGGCCGCTCTGGCTCTTCTCGGCCCCGGGCCCGGCCCCCTCAGCTGTGGGGTCACAGGTCTCGGTCCTTGGCTGCAGCCTGGGTTCCCACCCGTCTGCCCGGCGCCTGACCCAGGAGTGTGCCTGGCACGGGTGGCCCAGGCCCCTGCCGGTGCCCATGCCAGGCCTGCGGGCGCCCCGACCAGGAGAGCTCAGCGCTCCGCACCCACACAGGGCCCTGTGAGCTCGCCTCTGAGACTTACATTCAGACAGAGAGACGAGCCGGGCACGTCCCCACTTCCCGCATCCGCTGGCGGGATGTCATCTCGTTTGCTGCTGCGCTTTTTAAATAAATAAATAAAATAGTGCTGACTGCTCCCCTCTTCCGGGTTCATCCAGCCCCCCCTGCCCACCCAGGCCGCTCTCCCCTGACTTATTTCCCGAAATATGTTTTTATTGCTTTCAGAGAGGAAGGTAGAGAGAGAGAAACATCAACGATGAGAGAGAACCATGGATGGGCTGCCTCCTGCACGCCCCACACTGGGGATGGAGCCTGCACCCGGGTCTGTGCCCTGACTGAGACTCGAACCCTGACCTCCGGGTTCCTAGGCCGATGTCCAACCACTGAGCCCTCTGGCCGGGCTCCTCAGCACTTGGTGTCCGTCCTGCTGATCCGGGAGGTCGGGAGCAGGTGCAGCCGCAGACGCCATCCCATGTGTGGGACCCGCCGTCTCACCGCCACCCGCTGCCAGGGTCGCCGTGGTCCTCGCTGTGGGGACCCAGGTCACTGCCTGGCATATCTCCCTCCGCTGCTTTCTGAGTCATCCCAGGAGCCCTCCTCCCTCCATCCAAGGACCGCAGCTCAGCCTAAAGGCCCTGGAGTGGTGCCGGGCATGTTGCGAGGGCGCCCACAGCAGGGACAGCGATGGTCCCAGCAGGGCTGTCCCCAGCACCAGCGAGGTCTGCATGCGGCATACGCCTGGACAGCTGCCTAAAAATAGCCGGGTCTCAAATGTCCCCCTGGAACTGTGACCCTGACTCAGCAGGTGGGGCTTGGCTCCAGGGGGAGCGGCTCAGCCTGCTGTTCACAGGCAGCCACCACTGGGGGAGGGGGGGTTAGAGAGCAAGGTTCCCAGGGTCTGAGAGGCCTTCTTCTTGGGGCAGACGGACCGACCAGGTGTGTGTGTGTGTCGGGGGGAGGAGGGGGGCGGTCAGAGGTGCATCCAACAACAACTGGTTTGTGTACAAGCCTGGGCCTCGCTGGGCCACACAAACTGGTCCTGGCCGGTTTTGCTTGGACAGAGGGCTCTGAACAGACAGGTCAGGGGTGAGGGACAACTTACTGAAGCCACATGGGGTGCCCTCCCAGAATCCACCTCCTGCTGGCTCCCACCCCCCCCGCCCGACCCCACCCCCACCCCACCCCCTCCACCCCACCCCACCCCCACCCCCACCTCGAGGAGCCAGATCCAGAATGTTGCAGCGCTGACAGCAGAAAGGCAGGCCCAGGGGAGCACGGGGTGGGCGGACAGAGCCAGATTCTCTGGGCAAAAAGCAGGGGAAGTTCCAGTCCCTGGAGCGTGCGCTGCGGGCCCTGCCAGGGGCTCCCACTCCAGCAGGAGGCTTTCCCAGACCCGGCCTGCCCGGGGCGCTCAGGGGCAGGGGGAGTGGGGGCCTCGTCTGCCTGCAGTTCTTTCTCTCCGTAACCTGCCCCTCCGGCTGCCACAGCGATGCCCTGTATTCAGCTTTCAATGACCCACATTCTTAAAATGCCAAAATGGCCCAGCTGGCGTGGCTCAGTGGTTGAGCGCTGACCTATGAACCAGGAGGTCAGGGTTTGATTCCTGGTCAGGGCAGAGGCCCTGGTTGTGGGCTCAATCCCCAGTGTGCGGCGTGCAGGAGGCAGCTGATCCATGATTGCCTCTCATCATTGATATTTCCCTCTCTCTCCCTTCCTCTCTGAAATCAATAAAATACATATTTTAAACGGCCACTTCTTCACCCAGCAGCTTCACTTTAAGGGATCTCCCTAAAGACCATCCATCATGAGGCAAAATACAGGGGATATTAACACAAAAATGCCCTCGCAGCATTTATGATTCTAAAGACCCCCCTCCTATCCACAGGCAGCTGCACCGGGCGGGGGCCAGGTGAGAGCCAAGGAATGTTACAGCCGCCACACACATGGGCGGGAATTCCGAGTCACAGCCCCAGTGTTCATCCGTGAAAGGGTTCACAGTGGCCTAAACAGCAAGGATGCAAACGCGATAGAAACACACACACTCACACACACACACACACACACACACACACACACACACACACACACACGGCATTACCAGATGTGCAGAAAATATACGTTTCATGGTGGTTGTCTGAGTGCTGGAATCGGTAGCACTTTTTAGTATATATACTCCCTGTGTTTTTCCAAGTCTTCAGCAATCAGCATCTTACCTAATAATAGACAAACATGTAAATTGACCGTACCTTCGCTACGCCAACCAGCCAATCAGGAGAGTATGAAAATTAACCCAACAAAGATGGCGGTTAATTTGCTTATGTAGGCTCCAAGCGGCCGAGCGAAGCCTGACAGCCCGGGGCTGGTGGAGAGAAGCCTGGCGATGATGCAGGCCTTCTTCTCCAATCCGCTGGTGGAGGGCCTCTGGGCCTGCTTGGTCAGCACTGCCACCGGGATGGAGGAGCAGAGACACAGCACACAGGGGGGCCTGGCCCTCAGCAACCCCAAGACTCACGGCCACAGAGGCGCTGGGGCCACTGGGGCTGCAACAGACACAAGTCGGCAGGAAACTGGTGGAAAGAGAGATAAACTATCATAACTTCATCTCCCTTTCCACAAGATGAGAAAACTGACCCTGATTTATCTGGTGATATGGCCCACACCTTTCTACAAGCACAGGGTATGTTAAGACCACTCCCAGGAAGGCCTGGTCAGAATACTGTCTCCAGGGAATAAGGCTACTGTGGCAAATCATCTAAGAGAGGAAACAAGCTTTGGTTGGGTTTATTCTGAAGGTCAGAAAACAGACCACCCCAACATATGCCATGTTGTTATATTGACCATCTTGACCTGCAGATGCTTGAAAAACAGCAAATGCAAGGAGAGGTTTTCACTGAAGTCTCCTTCTCTGCCTAAAATCGGACCCCCCAAAAGGTTCCCTCGATGGGAAAAGTGCCATCAGCCAGTGAAGACTGACTCCTGTCACAGGACAGGAGACTAGAAGTTGACATAACACCCAAACTTTGTTACAAACTATCTCCCCCACCCCCATTCATCTTCCCTAAAAATCATGTACTCTCCTCTAAGAGGCCTACATATCCCGTCCCCTCTCCCTAGGAAGAAGGTATTTAAATCTGGATTCTAAGCCACCTTGGGGTGTTACTCATTTTTCCCTGGGATCTCCCACATATACACGAGGTACACATGCTAATGAACTTTGGTTTTTCTCTTGGTGATCTGTCTTCCATTACAAGGGCCTCCACTAAGAACTCAGAAGGGTAGAGGAAAACTACTTTTCCTCCATATTTCTATCTCGGGAAATCAAGTCCCGGGCTGAACAGTGAGTTTGGCTCAAGTGCCCAGCAGTCCCGGCTGAGGGGAGGGAAGCTTCTAGGGGGAAATCAATGATGCTGGCATCAAAGTGGGACAGAGGGCACACGCAGGGGTGCTGGTGGGAGTTTAAAGTGATTCAACATTTTTGGAGGATGATTTGGCAAAATCGATAGAAATGTCCAAGGTACATCCAAGAGTCTTCCAGGAATCTCATCTGCTGAGATAAAGCACGAGTGCTTAAGCCCTGGTCGGAACCCAGGATGCTACTGCGGGCTCCCCTTCCATGATGGGAAAACCTGCTACCAACCTGCATTTTTAGGCAAGGTGGCATCTACACTAATATAAAGGTAATATGCTAATTAGGCTGAACATCTTCCAGATGACCTTCCGGACGTCCTTCCAGACAAAGCCATGGTGGCAGGGCTGAGGCAGAGGCAGTTAGAGGTGATCAGGCAAGAAGGGGTGAGCAGTTAGGGGGATCAGACCATCAGGGGAGA